ACGTTCGCCGGGAAAAATCAAATTCTTTGGCAAGTGAAATATTAACACCTAAATTTTGACTAACAATTTAGTGATTACTTATACAGAAAATTATGAATTAAATTTTAATCTTTAGAAAAAATATTAAAGTTAAATTGCATAGCATTTAGTTTTAAGAACATTTATTATATAATTGCCTTTATATTGAACTAGTTGTGGATGGATTTAAATGAATAGTTCTGAACTTAATGAAATGGACTATGCCCGCATGGATAAAAAATTTTGGCCTAGCCCATTCATTTTTGCGCGAGGGGTCTACACTCGGAAAGAATTGTCATAAGTTCACAATCTAGGGAGATGCATCATGCAAAAGGTTATGTTCTTGATTGTGTGCATATTATATGTTTGCCATATATTTGGTGCATAATTCTCGATCAAGAATCAAGAAAACAAAGAGACTAGAAAGAAAGAGATTCTTTTCCAAGTCTTGAAAGGAGTAATCTTGTTGGTTTAGGCGTGGAATCTTGGCTGAAATATGGACAATATTCTGATTTGGCGAGGGAAGAAGGAAAAAACAAATATAAATGGACATGCGTATGAGAAGGAAAGAAATTGCATATCTAGATAGTGCAATATGTGGTTGGAAAGAGGAAAAAATTGTATATTCTCTTTCCTTGGTGGGCTCCTTTTCTTTGCATATAAAATGGATGATAGCACAATGCGTAAAGGGGAGCTCTGATAATTCCCAAAAGACAATTTCAAAGAGCACGAGATACATGTGAGGAAATAGTAAGACTAAAGAACAAGAGTGAGAAAGTGCCGTCTCATCGCTGCGCCGCCTTGGGCCCGTGTCGCCTCACCGTCGCGCCCGCGCCGCCTGCTCACGGTCAGACCTGTGGCTGTGAGTAGCTTGCTGCCGCAATTGCTCCCATGCCCATCTCCACCTACCGCCGCTGCTACCCCCGCTCCGACGAGCCCAAAACCGTCGTCTCGCGCTGCTGCTTCCAGTCGCTGCATCGCCAGGCTCCGACACCGCCACACTCCCTAATGTTGACGTCGCAGCTACCGTGACCGAGACCATCGAATCAAGCACTCTCCCACCGTGGACACCCCACATCCAAAGCTCCTCAGCCGAGTCCCAGTCAAGTCCAGTAGATTCCCTGCCGTTGAATTTACACACTTGGTCTTGCTTTCTTGTTCAGTGGGTCCAACGAAGTCGACAGAATTCGTTGGATCCAACATGAATTATCTGCAGGTTTTTGTTTGGTCTTGTTGGGAAGTCCGATAAATCTCCTTGCCGGTTATTGTGATTCCCTCTGATGACGAAGCCATGAAGTAGCAGCTCGGCGCCTAACTCCGCCAAGATCTCCGTGAGCATCCCTCACCGTGAGCGTCCACATTGCCAACCAGCCTTGGCCGTGAACCACCATCGAGACGAGCTGCTCGTGATCCATCGCCAGTCCGACCCGCCGCCGTTCGCCGGTCCAAACTTGGAAAGCAAATATTCGAATTAGGTAAAATCTCATCTAATTTGCTTTTCGAGTATATTTTTTCCATATTTAAAATATTATAATCTTGTGTGAATCTTTGAATGATATCATCGTATCTATTAAATTCCCGAATAGCCTTTAAATTAGGAATTGTTTTCTAATTTCACAACGTGCATATGATCGATAGTCCGACTTCATGCCCGAAATATGACTCGCGATCGCACGGAAAATCGTCAATCCGATCTTCCGCCCGAGATATGATTCGCGATTACGTGAAAAATTGGCCAATCCGATCCTCATGCCCGGGATATGATTCGTCAATCTATTGTTTCTAAATTTAAATGGATATGGATACTATTGATTTGGTGTCGTGTTAATTTTATTGCTATTTCTTTCCGTTTTTGTTGTTGTTTGAATTGAATTGATTGTGTTTTTAAAAAAAAAAATAAAAAGATTAGTTAATAATTCGAAATCTATTTTTTATATAATATTGCATATTTAGAGTAATTTTCTCATTCCGAATTTAATAAAATACCAAAAATATATTCTTAGAATAAATCAGATTTTCATTGCTAGGAAAGATTGTAGGTTTAAATTAAAGTATTTAATTAATTTCGAATTTCATGAAAAATACAAAAATATCATATGCATGTCATATACATTAATTGCATCTTGCTTGCATGTCATCTTGTGTCATCTTGCCACGTCATTCATACCTTGCCATGTGTCATTGCTTACGTGTCATTAGAAATTGCACGTCTAGGTTCATTTGTGTGCCATATTAGAATAGTCCATTTAATTGTTGTTAGAATTAAGACATTTAGGTAATTGTATGTCGTGTGTAGTCATGGCCACGGTTGAACCGGCGGTTCCGGTTCATGGCCATGCATGAACCGGAACTGGCCGGTTCGGTTCCGGTTCGTAATTTAAAAATTAAAAATACAAATTATGAAATAAAAAATAATAAATTATAAAAATATGAAAATTCAATATAAATTATAATCAAAATGAAAATTGTAGGGATGATTGGTTCTCGATCGGAATCGGGAACCGAACCGATAAGACCGGTTCTTTAATTTTAGAACTAGGAATCGAACCGACAAACCTTAGAACCGGGAACCGGACCATTGGTCCAGTCTAGTTCTAAGTGGTCCAAGACTCCAATGGAACCTTTTGCTCTTAACTAGAAAAGATCATAGCCACAAAAGGCATACAACTTCACAAAATCATGGTGGCTTGTTTTATAATACAACCCTTGATAATCACTTCGTATTCATTCTTCATTCGATGTGGGACTCTTGGCATTTGCAAGACAAGTCAAGAGTCTCACATTGAAGGTGTTCAAGGTAAGCTGAGAGTCCCACATCGAATGGGAATAAAGAGACCATCAAAGGAGTTGTTTATAAAACCCAAATAAGTCTTGTAATTAGAGTTCAATACACAAAGCCAAGCATTGTAATTGAAAATCAATGTATTTACAATGCATGGCAATTAGAGTTCAATTTGTTTTATAAAAAAATTAAATAATGACTTTTTTTTTAAATTTATTATTATTTAAAAAAATTTGGAACCGGAACCGGGCCCGTAGGCCACGGGCCGGTTCCGGTTCCAACCGTGGGCCCGGTTTGACCGGGCCGGTTCCGGGCCAAAACCGGCCCGTGGCCATGACTAGTCGTGTGTCATGTTAGACTAGCATCATGCATTGCATATAGTTTATTTTTTTCATTAAATAAGCGAAAACTCCAAAAAAAAATATCGTGTGAATTGCGTGTTAATTAGAAATCATATTAGGGTGTTGATGTGATTTTCTAACTAACATTGCAGATGCTTTCATTACTTTGAGGTAAGTTCCTATCTTGCAATTTATTTATTGCTTTGCATTATTGAGTGTTTTATTATTGGTTGCGCACCCGCATGATCACCTCGCATGTTAGTGGATATGTTTAAAATCAATCCAAGCTGTATGCAAATTTTTTTTTGAAATAAAAGAGAAAGGTACCAGAAGGGCGTTAGAGTAATTTATCGTAATCAAGTCCCCGAATCCAGTAAAGTAATTCTCCAGATACTTTACTTGGGTTTATAATCGACTCACCAAAAAATAGATTAGTGACAACTCCTGATTGAAACGATTTGCATGTTAAGAACTTAAACATTAAGTCATGAATTGGTAAGGGTTTGGGAAAGCCTGAGTTAGGTCTAGACTTAACAATCTATCAGTCGAACCCCTAGGTGACGCACCCGAGGGTAGGTCGTGACATGAAAAAATGGTGATTATTATTTAAATGACACGGCGTACATTGAGAACACGATTCTGCTTTGCTAACACGAACTGCCAAGCGAGAAAACTAAATTATATGGCGCACCATTATATGGAAAGCAGACAGGCTACATAAAAGTAATATTCTTTTGTGCAATTCCAATGCATCTGTACCATGACCCTACATGTCCTAATCCTAGCAAAATTAAAATATGTAAGAAACGTGAACATCAATCCCTGTCTCATGACAAAGCGTATGAGCCGACCCGACGCTTAACGAGCACGTAGGTACAAGCCTCCAATTGAACAGAGCCCAGAGCATGTGGAACGCGCCAAAAGAAAAGCATAGACATAGAGCGAGGTAGGTTCTTATATAAAATGATAACCACAAGCACATGACATCTTTTCTATTCTGTTTGTTTTATAAATTTTTTGGCTAAACCATTAGCACATGATATCACATGTTACACAATCGTTGACGGGACGAGCATTGCGCATTCTCCTCCATTGATCTATTCTCTTTTAGCGTTCACGAGCCTACATTGAGATATCGTCAAAAGATCTATGACTAAATTGACAAATTATCGAGAGAGTTAGAACTAGATTGGCCAAATTAAAATGTTTAAGACTAAATTGACTGCCTCAAAATTGATTTAGGACTTTTTGGGTAGTTATTCCTTGGAAAGCTATGAACATAGGAAAAGCACAAACTGAGTACACATTCCCATCTTAGTTTGCTGGCAAAATGATTGGAGTGCGTCTGTGGATTCTCGTCTCCTGCATATAAAATAGTTTCCCGGGCGACTTTGTGATCAAGGGACTTGTCGTTCCGGCGATCTTGCATATAGAAGTTTGCTGCAATAAAATACTTCTTCCCTTTCGACAATTTAGATTACGTGGGGTTAAGCATTTGTAGCAAAACGTGATTCAGATTATAATGGTCGTCATCAGCTATAGTGCTATCAGAAGCCAGCTTCGATAACTGAACAACTCAATTATCAAAGGGAAAAAGAAGAAACAAGCTCCGACAGCCGCTTCAAAGAATATAATTACCCGCTGCAAAAGGAAATGTTGCCGTCGAAGTCCCACTTCTACAGGCCAAGAAAGATTGCATACAGTAGCCAGTGATACAACATGTGACTATCTACGGATCATAGCGAAAATAACACTCGAACAAGAAGTTTCCAATGCATCATGCGTTGGTCACTCACCACATATCTCAGTCCATTGGCAATTATGGGCATCTGAAATTCTGAAATGACTGGCCATAGTCGTTAAAGAGAAATATTGAAGAAAGCTCTGGTGATCCTTTGTGGGACTGTGAAAGCTTTATCTTCTTGTATTTTACATTACAAAGTAAAACATTAGACATTGAGTATCCATAGCAGTCAGACACACATCCAAGTTATTCAAATACAGTCGGATATCTCTTCCCCAATCTGGCGAGTTATTGTACTTGTATCCTCCCGGCCATGTGATTGTCCCAATGGTGCTGCAAAGCCTCGTTTATGTTCTTGAGAGCCTTATTGTACGATATGAAACCCATGAACCAGAATTCATAACCATCTCTCGTAACAACCAGGATGTACTTTTCAGAAGGATTCAACCTGTTTGAAGAAGGACTAACAGTGCTCAACTGATCGAGCAGCAGAACCACCTAGACAATCAATCAGGATGGAAGCACTTTAAAAACTGATGGTTGGAGAGGGAAGCTCAGCAAAGCTTGAACAAACTTTTTCCAGGGTGTGTTTTACTACATTCAGATGCTTCATGCTTAGATAAGAATCAAATGATGGAAAAATGATCCAAGGCACACTGAAGTAATACAGACAATGAGTAAAATGAAGGTCCTTTCCAGTGAAGGATCTCCCAAGAGGGGAAACGATAATGATAACTCAGGCTAGTCACAAGAGAGGAAACGAAAATAATAACTCAGGCTAGGAATTTGTCATGCATCAAAAACTTAGCATGATTCAGACAAAAGGTCAGCGCTTACCAATTTGAAACCGCAATCCTAGAGTAAATGCAATTACAGGAAGATTGGAAAAGGTTACCTTGTAATACATCCACTGTTGCTGCCCTGTGGGAGAGTATTGGCAAAGAGGGTTATCACTACAGAAGGCCAATCTCTTGTTTGACAAATACAGTGTCCCAATTACAGGCCCAGTGGAAGTGGATAGATAGCAAGCATATGCCTTCAGGAGCTTCTCCCCTGGCAGAATCTCAAACTTATGTTGAAATACCTTATCCTGTCCCCCCTCGGTGAGCACTTTTGTCCCCTGAGCAAGTCGAGCCATTGCTGCGTCTGTGATGTTAGGGCTGGTTCTAACTGTTTCACACAAGAATAGCACAATTACCAATTAGTCAAGGTCAGGCAAGAATCGAGTTCTGAACATCACACTTCAATCGATTAGAAACCATGAGGAGACAAGAATCAAAGAAATTACGGGCTTTGTCTCTTACAAGTCACAAATAAACTAAAGAACGGACAACGGGCCAGCTGCAGTGCTTGCTCTTACAGGACAAAGCTAATTCTTCTTCCTCACAGGGAAAAAGATGAAGAACCAAGAGACGATCATTCATCTGGTCCAACGTTCAGTCACGCAAAGAGCCCAATGGGTCCGCATGGCTTCAGAAAATTATGGAAACAAACCATGTCCTCGACGGAAGTGCCATGTTATGCATTTGGCAATTTGCTATAAGTAGGAATCGAAATAGATTGCCAAAAGAATAAGCGCCGAAGATAGCACCGCTCATCAAAGTAGAAGCTCCTCTTAGATAAATAATCAAGGGACTTGATCCACTCAACAGCTAATTGGCGGATTGAATACACAGATTATGAAGGCATGTATGCTAGTTCCTTGGTGGTGATTCCAAAAGAAGCCGTTGAGCCGATGACTGATCGTTTGAACTGATTCCTAAAACCACAGGACCGCAATGGTACGAGACCACCATGCCGGACAAACGACGTCAATGATGAACAAAGTGCCAAACTCTTTCTATTGAATATTTACTTCCATAGCATTCGCTTATATTTCAGAAACAGAGAAATAACATATGCAAGCAAGCGATCAGATACGTCTCCACGAATAAATCCAAAATGTAGAGAATACTCACGGTGATGCCAGACATTGTCTGCGAGCACCTCTGCTTTTCGCGAAGCATCTTCGAACCTCTTCCCACACCGGTTCAACGCGTCGCATATCTTGTTCATCGGACCTGCAAACAAACACCAGCAAAGCGTCGGCCTCATCAACACCATCCTCAAAAGCCTAATCATCAACCATAAATTCCGACGCAGAGAGCACGCCTCGACGGCAACTCACTCCTGCCAGGCGGCGCAGAAGCATTCAGCGGAGCGACGTGGACGTACGGGTTCTCACCGCCGCCGCCGCTGCTCTGGTTCGGGTTGGCGAAGCCGGAGGCCGAGCCGCTCGGGGTGGCGTTCATGTAGCTGGAGCGGAAGCTCGCAGGGCGAGCCTCACCGGCGATCCACGTGGCAGCATGCTGGCTCGCAGGGTGCGCCTGGGGCTCCACCGGCGTCCCCACCACGTACGTGCTGCAACGCGTCACCACCGGTTCACCTCCGCCGCTCATCGCCTTCGTCTTCTTCGTCCTCGTCACCGTCACGCAAGTGTGGATTGGGACTGCGATCCGAAGGGAACAATCGCACAAGAAAAGACAGTGGAGATGGAACCTAGAAAAGAGCAGAAATCTCGATAAGATCACGAGAATCAGAACCCGAATGAGCTTTCTTTCTCTCTCTCTCTCTTTTTTGCTTAATTTTTGAATTTAATGGTTCGATGCGTTTTGAGTCTAGAAGAAGCGACCTGCATCGCTAAAGCAAAGAGACTACCGGAAGGAAGCAATAGTGACTTGGGAAATATTTTACAAAAAATAATTACTTATGCCGTTTAGAAAAATTAATTAATGAAAAATATTTTCATCATGGATAACAACCTATATCGAACTATTTTCGTAGGTAATGAAAATTTTTTCGAAAATTTTTGTAAGTGATATAAGTGATTATTTTTTGGAAATTCCAAATCGTTTATTTTCCACGAAACGAATGCACCCTAGTTCAAATGATTGTTTTTCAAATTGTTTTAAAAAAATTAGATTTTTAAAAATAATTGGTCCAATCCGGTTTCTTGTGGAACTGAGAACCGGATTGAAAATCACCGGTTCCGATTTCATGGAACCAAGAACTGGGCCGGGTGCCCTTTTGAGCCATCCAGAACTGACTGGTCCGGTCTAGGTGATTCCTGTCGCACACCCCTACTTTGGAGGCCAAAAATAGAAATATTGTATCCGGCCAAGAAAAAAAAATGATGCCACGCTACGTTCGATTCTCTTTTCCTCATTTCTTAATCAAAAAATGCAAATGAAATTATATGAAATTCAATCTTGAAAATGGCGAAATGAAATTTACAAAAATTGCAAAATTTTACAGCCATTCTCAAAGCGGGATTTTGTTTGCCCTCACCTATTTCTAGTTCGTTCGATTTGATATGAAGGGTGATGTAGTGCTGAAAAATGATAGTAGGAAGCATTTGGAATAGTTAACACGATCTTGAAATCTGAACATGACAATACTCATTAGCATTTGAAATGAATTTAAACTCGAGTAGAATACTCAAACATAATTTAATAAAGAATCTCGAGTAGAGTTTCCTCCTGAAGTAATAGCATTAGACGATGAATCTTGAAAGGAAAACTAATATCATTTTTTAAAGTGCACAATTACCACTAAATAACTTTAACAAACCTAGTAAATAGATAATGTCATGTATTATTGTTATTAAGGGAGAGATCATCTTTTGATATCTCCCACTATTCTTTGACTCAATATCCTTTAAAATGCTTCGAAACCCAAACTCCCTCGTCATAGCACTATGTTGAAAATCGTCACTAGATTTTCTATTGACCCCAAAGTCCATAAGTATAGTCATAAATATCTACAATATGATGATGGCCAAGAATGGGGAGCTACACAGGAAACATCATCAATACCACATTTCAATTTGCCACATATGTGACGGGATCAATGGTTTTGATATGTGACTATACTTGTGTGATACTAGTGCTAGTATGCTCAAAATGATAATCTTCATAAGTTATTTCACTAGTTGATGAAGTGGATATAGTATCTGTGCCATTGTCAGTCCAAGTTCCATCATCCCTTGTTGACATTTCTGTTGGATAAAAGAGTGGCTTGAGAGGTATTTGTAGATCATCTACTTTTCCTTCGAGCATTTGCAAGACTTTGTGCATCGAAGGCCGTTCGCTAGGATTCAATTGTATACACCAAAGAGCAACTATTATCATCTTCTTTATTACTTTCCGATCCTCCTCACTTGCTTTTTCCACCGGAACGTCCAATCCTTCACTAAGTTGGTCATGAACCCATAAAGGAAAGTAAATCTGACTGGAACACTCTGCAATCATGTCCGCATTCTTCCTCCCATTGGCCATTTCCATCAACAATTTTCCGAAACTAGAGACTTCGGCTTTGTAAGATACGCTCCCAAGGTTCTTAAAGACAAGCTCCGGAGCCATGTATCCCAAGGTTCTTCTTGCGGCAGTCAGAGACACGATGTTGTAGTCCGTCGGATACAATTTAGCGAGCCCAAAGTCGGAAACTTTTGGAGTAAAATCCCTATCGAGAATAATGTTATGAGGCTTAATATCAAAGTGTAAAATTTGCATGTCGCACCCTCGATGAAGATACTCAATCCCTCTAGCCACTCCAAGAGCAGTCTCGTACACTTCCTTGCCATTATGAGAAGTCCCCTCTCCTCGTGAGAAAATGTGCTTATCCAAAGATCCATTGTGCATAAAATCGTAGACAAGAGCTTGTTTCGAGCGCTTGAAGCAAAAACCAATGAGTCCGACCACATTAACATGATGAATTCTTCTGATGGTGGCCACTTCGCTAATGAAGTCCTGCCCGTTCGCTTTCCCCTTATTCAAAATCTTGACTGCCACCTCGCGGCCGCTCTGGAGTTTTCCTTTAAACACAGAACCATACCCTCCCTCTCCTAGTTTGACCTTATGGCCACCTGTGATCTTCTTGATGTCTGAGTAAGAGTACCTTATCGGCAAGAAGTTGTTATTAGATTGTAAAAAATCTTCAACGTTTTAATCCATTGCTAAGTGTCTTTTCCTCCATTTGCGTAATAGCAACATCATCACGGATGGGGCTCCCAAGATGAATTTCCCAACCATGAACGCAAATGCTGTATTTCCAATAACTGATTTGTGGGTGTGTTAAACGTTTGCATTTAGAAATATTAAATCAATTTCACAATGAGAAGGCGGTAGTAATGTTACCGATGCCAAAGAGCAAGGGCATCGCATCTTGGTAACGTTTGGTCCCTATTCCTCAAAAGAGATTGAATTTGTCACAAGTGAAATCTGAAGAAATTTAAAAGACACTTATTTAGACCATAATCAAGCACTGAGTATAAAAAATGAATAAAATGATGTATTTATTCTTATACCTATAACTAATTTGTGGGTGTGTTGAAAGTTTGCATTTAGAGACATTAAATTAATTCCACAATGAGAAGATTGTATAAACATTACCAATGCCGTGGAGCGAGATCATTTTAATAATCCTGATATTATCGGAGATGATATTAAAGAGGTGAACGGTGATATTTTCATCTGCGGAAAAGATAGACTATGTGACAAGTGAAAGCTGAAGAAAATTTGAAAGATACTTATTTAGACCACAATCAAGCATTCAGTATAAAAAAATGAATAAATTATTTATTTATTCTTATACGTATAACTAATTTGCGGGTGTACTAAATGTTTGCATTTAGAAACACAAAATTAATTCCACAACGAGAAGATTTAATGTTACCGATGCCATGGAGCGAGATCAATTTAATAGTCCTGCGAATATCGGAGAGGTAATCGAGGACATCTGCAAAAAAGAAAACAATATGTGACAAATGAAAGCAGAAGAAAATTTAAAGGACACTGATTTACACCGTAATCAAGCAATGAGTATACTAGTTCAATCCACTAAGATCTGTAGGCGGAATTCGCATAAAATTAATAAACAAATAAATAAAACTGTATTCATTATTATACTTGTAAAATACCTCGACAGCATTTAACTAGCTACTAGGTCTTAATGGCCGTTTTGAAATCACGTGAGCTATGAAAAGATATACAAATGACCGAGCTCGATTTCACGTTTAGATGAAATATCGAAAGATATCCTCACAATTTTCTTTATGTTGAGAAAACTAAACAAGTCAAAGGTCCTTACCTGTGTTGGCCCCGCAATAAATCTGGTGCTCAGCGTCGATGCCGCACCAAGCACAACCTTTGAAGTACAACTTACAGGCTTTTTGAAGCCATGAAAGCTCAAACCCATAAACCATCTGTTCATGAATTTGCGCATAGGAACGAAGATGATTGCCATCAACCCACCATGGTATCATTGCCATATGCTCTATAGTGCATCCGGTTTCCACATTCGAGACATTCGCATCCACCATGGCATACAATCGCCTTCTTGTACCAAAAGAATTCGAAAATTTGGCCCCATCGAGGCACGAGGAAGTGTCAATGTAAAGGTGAGAATCGACAACCTTCCTGCAGCCCACGATCGAAACGGTCTTGGATAAATCTGGAACAGAGTACCTGGCATCCCAACAAGTATACGAATCTGATATGAAGAAGTTGCGGCACGGCGAAGAGCGGTGAGGAAGAGACGAGCAATTACCCTTTTGCAGCCCCATATCAGCAACCCCGATCGTGTAGTTGGTATAGTTGATGTACCGTACGGAGTAATTGCCCGAGTACGGATCGAGAACGGTGCGGTTATCGATGCAGGCTAGCTCAAAGTTAAGGTCGCCGCAGATCGTCGAGTCTCCCCTCAGCCGAAACGGGGAGCCTATGTTGACCTCGCCGCAAGAGGTGGTGCACTGCTAAAAGACAGATGGAGAGGAAGAAGAAGAACAGCAACAACAACGAGGAGTGGATCTTTGTGCATAGCTCATGCAATAGGAGAGAGCACGAATCAACAAGGCAAAATCCGAGTGTTTAGTGTGGAGATGGAAGAGAAAGATGGATAAAAGATGAGAGGAATATTTTGAGGTGCTCTGCTTCTTTCTTGGAAATAATGAGGAGTGGATTTATCAACGGAGATAGGGAAAAATAAAATCTCCGACGACAGCTACTTGTGTGGAGGTGAGTGATTTGTTTTTTGTTTTTTTTTTGGGGGTGGGGTTTTGGTTTGCTTTTATGATTCGCGCATGGCTGGAGTTCCATCAGTGCTGAGAGTGAAAGCGTGAGAACGTGAATTGCGTGTGGAAATGACTAAAGAAACGGACATATGGAAAAAGATGAAATACTCACATTCTAATCATTTTTACATACATATATATTTACATACATCTATATTATATATTATATATTATATACATGTATGATCGGGAATGTTCACGAGTGCCTCCGGAGAGTTATTGCGATAATCTCTTAGGAGCGATTAAAAATGTTCGAGATTGTATAAAATGTGCACGGAACGATTTTATCGGTATTCATGTGTACACATTTTAAGGAGGCCCGTTTACACGAGTAGACATTGTGCGAGTTTCCATCCTGGTGACTTCTTCAAAGATGGATCGTGTTGCCCTTTTCTTTTCTTTTTCGCTAGGGAGATTCAAAAACTTGAAGAATAAGTAACGAGACGGTACCGAGTCTTTCTTTACTCTCTCTTTTTTTGTTTTTTTTTGTTTTGCCGTACAAATTTTAAGAGTCCCACGGTCTTTTCAAACCGGGCGTGCCTAGTAAATAAAATCCGCCTCGACCTCTTTTCCCTTGTTTCCTTAACTAGCATGAGACTGTACTTGTTGTTGTCCTTAATGTAAGCAGGTGAAAGCAAAAAATCTTAAATAAGTAAAAGAAAGAAACGGCTCTCGAACAACCGAGCTCTTTGAAGGAAAAAGCATAAGTTGGATCTCATACATCTAGAGGGATAGAATTTCAGAAAATGCGAGACATTTTCCTTGATCATTGTCATTATGATGCCGTCCTTTATTTAGGGACAAAAACTATTACCTTTGATAAAAAAAAAAAATCCACATAAAAAATTGGGTTTGAGGTTGAAATCTTTCTCCGATTTTACATCACATATGTGTATATAGTAGAGAAAGAGATATGGCTCGAGCTATATATATTTGTCTAACACAACTGGCATACTTAATATTTTATTTATAAAAAATAAAAAGGGTGAGAGGAAAGAATATTCGTTTTTTCTTCTTATTCTTCTTTTTTTTTTCTAATTTTTGTTTTTATTTTTATAATTTTAGAAGAAGAAAGGAGGGGGAGGGGGAGAGCGGCGGATATTCTCTGCAGGAAGCCTGGATGGGATGATATACCCAACCGCCCATCACAAGCCACCACCTACCCCCCTCCGCCCTCGGAGTCGGATAACTTCGCTCCCCCCCGCGTGCACGCACACACACTCTCTCATTTCAGAGGTAATATCCAAATTTCCATTTTTTTTACCAAATACCCCCACGCCAGAAACGTGCTTGTCCAGATAAAAAAAAACTTTCAATTCCGACCATTTTTTCCTGGGTTAATACCGCGAAAAATTCTATAGCCACTAGGGTTGAGCAACCTGAAACCGGTAGAAACCTGTAAGTTCCAGGTTCCAAGGTATGCAAGGTCCATGTTACAAAAATTAGGGAACTTGTTTCGATGGGTACGTTCCAGGTTCTAGGTTCGCCTATAACTTGGAACCTTAAACAAGTATTTTGTGTTTTTTCTTGGTCTATGTCTTCGTGTGATCCTGTGGTGATTCTTAGCGTTAGATGATGAGTGTATAATTTGGAACCACTAGTCTAAATTTTCATTTTATGACTTGTTAATCTTTCATATTTTCCGTGTATCTAAATATAAGTTGTTGTCAGTATATCGTAGCAGGTGGTGGTTATTAAAGGTAATTAATAATACAAGTGGAATTGGGTGGATCTTGGAATTGACTCTAAAATTTGTGACATGGAAGGTTCAAGGTTCCAAGGCATGTATGATACGTTCCATGTTCCAAAAAATTCCCATAGGTAGGTTTTAGGTAGAACCTGTACAGAACCTGAAACCACTCACTCCTAACCACCAAAAACCTTAAATTGGTACATTTGTGATAAATTTACCCTATATTATTTTTCATTAAATTATATTCATATAATGAAAAATCACAAATTAGTACACCTGTGACAAAACGGATGGTAAAATCCAAAACTGGTACACCCGTCAATTGCCACGTATCATTCAATTCAGCAATTTGACGATTAAATTTAACGGAAACTAACTGAAGGTAAATTTGTCATGTGCGTACTAATTTAGAGTTCTTCGTGATATTAATTATTTTTTTTCTGTTTTCCCTCATCGATTCAAATGATTCCAATTCCCAACAAAAAAAAAAGAAGAAAGAAAAGAAAACCACATAATTCCCATTAGAAAAATAACTCACGTTTTCCTCGCACATGAGCCACCGTGTGGTGAAAAGCAATAGTCAAAGCGACTTTAGAGCCCGGCGTTCTTACTTTGTAGACGGAGCCTTGACCGATTCACGTGAATCGGGCGAGATGTTATTACATTTATTGACCTAAACGAGTCAAAAAGGCTGGGATTTGCAATTGATGCCGCTGCATGATTCCTTTAGCCATAATTGGTGATGACATCTTAGTCCTTGACTGAGTTGGCCTCGGCTTCTATCTCTTTGGTGGGTCTCTCGAGTTGACATCACAAGCGCCACCCCCCAAATCAATCTACGTCCACGCTTACTTTAAGAGATGATGGTGGGGGTTCTGATTAGTGCATCTTTTGCGTCGCCAGGTCTTTCCATAGAAAGGGTATGAAAAGAGGGGTTGAGCGTCCAATGGATTGACCCTGATCACTTTTCCAAAAGGGTCACTTACTAGGGGAGAGATTCGTTGGCCCGAAAGGAAAACTGAAGCGACTCTCGTTTTCTTCATCGGTAGACTTCATGAGATGACTACACATGGGTCGTGATTTCGGCGCGTGAAAAGTCAAAAAAGGAATGCAAAAGTTCTATTTCCTATGAGGGGCGATTGATGTGACCGGCAACAACGGATGAGGCACGGGAAGGAACAGTGGAAATACAGAGCGAAGGCGCGGACACGACAGGACGGGTCAGGTCGTCATGGATCAACACATTCGCCGGGGTAAAAATCAAATTCTTTGGCACGTGAAGAAAGGGTGAGCCACGATTATTTAAATGACACGGCGTATATTGAGAACATGATTCTGCCCTACTAACACGAATTGTCAGGCAAAAAAACTATATTATATGACGCACCATTATATGAAAGGCAAATGGGGTATACGAAACTAATATTCTTTTTATGCAGTTCGAATGCATCTGCACCATGACCCTACACATCCTAATCCTATCAAGATTAAAAAAAGTAAGAAACGTGAACATCAATCCCTGTCTCATGACAAAGCGTATGAGCCGACCCGACATTTAACGAGCACGTAGGTACAATTCTACATTGAACAGGGCTCAGAGCATGTGGAACACGCCAAGAGAAAAACATAGACATAGAGAGAGGTAGGTTCTTATATAAAATGATAACCATAAGCACATGCCATCTTTTCTATTTTGTCTTTTTTATAAAATTTTTGGCTAAACTATTAGCACATTATATCACATGTTACACAATCATTGATGGGATGAGCATCGAGCATTCTCCTCCGTTTATCTATTCTCTTTTAGCATTCATAAATCTACATTGAGAAATTGTCAAAAGGTTGAGGACTATATTGTAAAAATTAGAAAGTCTAGAACTGAATAGACAGTCCTATCATAGGTTTAAGACTCAAAAGCTTTCAACATTTTGATTGCTAGTTTGGTTTGCTGGCAAAATGATTGGAACAGGTTTGTGGATTCTTAGTCTCCTGCATAGAAAATAGTTTCCCGAGCGACTTTGTGATCAAGGGACGTGTCGTTTCGACGATCTTGCATATAGAAGTTTGCTGCAATAAAATACTTCCCTTCCGACAATTAGATCATGTGGGGTTAAGCATTTGGAGCAAAACGTGATTTAGATTATAATTGTCGTTATCAGCTATAGTGCGATCATAAGCCAGCTTCCATAACTGAACAACCCAATTATCAAAGGGAAGAAGAAGAAAAAAATTTCCAACAGCTGCTTCACAGAGCATAATTACCTGCTGCAAAAGGAAATATTGCTGTCGATGTCCCACTTCTACAGGCCAAGAAAGATTGCATACAGTGGCCAGTGATACATGTGACTATCTACAGATCAATGCGAAAATAACACTAGAACAAGAAGCTTCCAATGCATCATGCATTGGTCACTCACCACAAATCTCAGCCCATTGGCAAATATGGGTATCTGAAATGACTGGCCACAGTCATTCAGGCATATCTAATCAGAGCAATATTGAAGAAAGCTCTGGTGATCCTTTGTGGGACTATGAAAGCTTTATATTCTTTTATTTTACATTACGAAGTAAAACATTAGACATCGAGTATCCACAGCAGTTAGACACATATCCAAGTTATTCAAGTACAGTCGGATATCTCTCCCCCAATGAGGCGAGTTATTGTACTCGTATCCTCCCGGCCATGTTATTGCCCCAGTGGTGCTGCAAAGCCTCATTTATGTTCTTGAGAGCCTTGTCGTACGATATGAAACCCATGAACCAGAATTCATAGACATCTCTCGTAACAACCAGGATGTACTTTTCAGAAGGATTCAACCTGTTTGAAGAAGTGATGGGTTTTCTTTGTGAATGATGGGCTGCTCATGATGGGCTAACCCAGCCCATGAAAGGAAATAACTGTACTTGGCAGTTATTGTCTAGACACAAAAAGTGAGAACACACGTATGAGTGGGTGCGTGTTGCATTTTTTTCATTATCAGAAACTTATTCTCACAAAAGGACAAAGCAGAAGGGATTTTGTTCAATGATCTAAGAATTGTTCTCTCTCTCGAGGCTGCGATAAGTGCATTTAATCTGTGGCAAAAGAGGTATGTTCGTTCATGTAATATACTTCAAACGATCGGTGATTCAAATATGAAAATGGGCACGTTTTTCCGCAATTTTTTTGTATTATATTTAGGAATTTGTTTCCTTCATTGGTATCAGAGCAAGTGTTCTTGTTTCCTGATCGTTGCAAGTGTGCATAACACGGAATATTGGCCGGAATTCGTGAAACGGCGTCGACGAACGCTCGGGTACGAAATACCGACACCCGACTGTACTGGTCCGCATTGTTTTTCGAAATTCCGTGCGGTAATATTAATTTTTAAAACTGTAGGGTCGTAGTACTCGTCGAAACGAGAATTTTGATGGGTGGCACGCCTCAGGGAGGAGCCGCACGTGCCCACACGCGCCGCCGCAAGTGGCGGTCTTGCCGGCACGTGCGTGGCACGTGCGTGGCACGTGCGTGGCGGTTCCTCCCAGCGCGCGTGCACCGCACGCACCATGAGGGCATGTGCGGCGTGGTTGACGTCAGCCATGCGGTTGCTCAACCGGGTTTTTCAGACCCGACCCGACCCGGATCCGACTTGACCCGATAGTCCACCTGACCCGTAGACTTGACCCGTTGACCATTGACCGGCGTTGACCGGCGAACAAAAAAAAATTGTACCTTGGATTATGAGTAATCCTTTTATTTTTCTGCATTTGTTGCAGGAATAATGGTACGAAGATATAGAACCCCTAGTATCCCTAGAACGGCGGCTCAAAAGAAGAAGCTTGAGAAACTAAGAATCAAGCTGGCTCTTTACCGGTGGGATGCTGATGATGACATGATGACACACATCATCAAGGTCAACCAAATGATACAAGATATCATTTGGAATGGTTTCGTATTGCCAGAGTATGTGATGGTCGGAGCCCTCAAATGCACCATTCCTGATGAGTTGGGAAGAATGATTGATAGGGTTTGGGACACCTTAGAAGGTCCGAGCTATAAGATGATTGTGGAGCAATTCATGATAGAGTACATACGGGTCGGGGCAAGATGGACGTCAACCCTTGCATTGAATCGGTCTCGGCGCAATACGTTGCTCGAATCTAGGGGTTTTCCGGGTGCCTCCATTTGGATGCCAAAGAAAATAGAATTTCCTGAGGATTTTCATGAGTCATTTCCGGTTTATAGAAAGAAGATCACCACCTGATTGTGTTTATCTATTTTTTGTAAGCTTTTATGGATATGTTCACTATAGGTTGGTGTTAAATATCTTGGGTGGATAGTTCTTTTTATGTTGGTGTTTATGTTTATTTCCTTTGATGGATTCATTTCTTATGTACATAGTGTTAGGTAAATGAATGTTGATGGATATTCATGTTGTGAATAGTTTATAGTACTATTCTGTTTTAATATTTATCTTATTAGTATCATATGGAGTTGAGTGGGAGTTCTAAAAGTTTTAGTAACTTTAAAGAACGTAATTTTACCTTAATGATTACATTAACGGTAATTTCACATTAGTTTTTTTTTATGATGATTGGGAACATAGTGAACTTTCGAATCTAAAGCCTATGTGAAATTATTCATTAATATAATCAGTTTGTGTAAAATTGATGCATAAATGAGTGGCATTAATAATTCGTGCGTATATATCTGAAATGTTCAGATACCATGGCTTCAGCATCAAAGAATATAGTTGCTGAACTGAACAAAAGAGAGAAGCTTAACGGTGATAATTATGAAATTTGACATATGAAAATCCAATATGTGCTGGAAGAGCAAGAGGCTCTTGAAGCTCTTAACCTGGTTATGGTAGAGCCTGAAGACGGAAACACTGCACAACATAAGAGAGATAAGGATGCATTTGCTGTATGGAAAAGGAAGAACTCCCTTGCTCGCATCACGTTGCTGAGTAGCATGGAAAATGATGTCATGCGAGAGTTTAGGCATTTTGAAAATGCTAAGGAGATGTGGGGAGCATTGGCAGCAAGGTTTGGTCATACATCTGTAACCAAGTTTAGACAGCTCACTATAAGATTTGACTTATATAAGAAGCCACATGGTCAGTCCATGAAACAACATTTAAGGAAAATGTCAAACATGATTAATGAGCTGAAGGATGCTGGCCATATTCTGACTGATGAGCAGCAAGTGCAAGCAGTGATTCGTTCTTTGCCTCAAAGTTGGGAGCATATGAAGTTGCATCTAACTCACAATGGAACATCAAAACCTTTGAGGATGCAGTGCGCCACTTAGAGCTAGAGGAGGACCGTCTCCTGGCGGATAAGCCGGTAATTGACATTTACTATGCAGGTTTTAACTCACAAGGGCCTTCGAGCTCTAAGGGCAAGCGTCCTGATTCGTTCAGAAGGTGGAGAGGTAAGAGAGCGAGTTCTTCGGGGAAGAAACCAAGAGATGAACAACACCAAAGAGGAAAGCGTCCTCATGAGAAAAAGATGTCAAGAGTGAAGTGCTACAACTATAGCAAGAAAGGCCACTTTGCTCGCGATTGTCGTGAGCCAAAGAAGGTTAACTCATCTTGTATTATTGAGAACTTTGTTTATGTATCAAGTTCTATATTTCTAACTGAATCAAATCCTTTGTGGACTGTAGATTCGGGAGCAACAGACCATGTAACGAAGGATAGAGAAGCCTTCGTAGAATTCCGACGAGTTCCAACGGGAATTAAATGGATTTATGTAGGGAACAACTCCAAAGCTGAGGTTAAAGGAATTGGCACCTGCCAGTTAATTATGCGTGGTGGACACACTTTGTTCCTACATGATGTATTATATGCTCCGAAAATTCGTCAGAACTTAGTGTCTGTTTTAGTGTTGATTCGACTTGGTTTTAATTTGAACTTCCATAACAATGGTGTAGACTTGTATTTAGGTACGAGTTATTATGGTTGTGGTTATTTTCTAGATGGTTTTATTGTACTGGATGTTGATTCTGTAAATGTCAATGTTTGTTATTCCCACTTCACGTCTTCTACTTCGTGTGATAATGATGTGAACGTTTGGCATGCTAGGCTTGGTCATATAGGCCAACAACGAATGAATAGATTAGCCAAAGAAGGCTTAATGGGCAATATTGAAAAAGTCGATTTGCCCACTTGTGAACACTGCATAGCTGGGAAAACAACAAGGAAACCATTTGGAAAAGGAACAAGAGCTAAATTTCCTTTGCAGTTAATCCATTCTGACATTTGTGGTCCAATGAATGTGAGGGCTAGACATGGGGCTGTTTATTTTATCACATTTATTGATGATTATACTCGATTCGGATGTCTATTTGATTTCTCATAAATCTGAGACTTTTAGTTGCTTCAAGATATTTATGAACTTGGTGGAAAATCAATTAGATAAGAAAATAAAAGCATTGAGATCCGATCGAGGTCGAGAATATCTATCCGATGAGTTCAGAAATTTGTGTGATGAAAAAGGAATAGAAAGACAGTTGTCTATTCCCTATACTCCTCAACAAAATGGTGTTGCGGAAAGGAGAAACAGAACCATACTAGAAATGGTTAGGTCCATGATGGCGCAGGCTAACTTACCTATCACCTTTTGGGGTGACGCTTTATTAACTGCTGCCTACATACTTAACCGTGTGCCTTCTAAATCAGTTATTTCCACTCCGTATGAGTTATGGACAAGTAGAAAACCCGTTTTGAGTTTTCTGAAACCTTGGGGTTGTGCCGCTTATACACATGAATCTTCTCATAAGTACGGGAAATTAGGTCCTAGAGGTAAGAAGAGTATCTTCATAAGGTATTCGGAAACCTCAAAAGGATATGTATTTATAGGTGAGCAAGAAAGTGGGAGTATAACTGAATTTGAATCACGAGATGTCACATTCTTAAAGAATGAGTTTCCTAAGAAGGGCGAAATAGGTGATAACTACTCACTATTTGAAACCTTGGATCCTGATAGTGAAATCGATAAAGTTCATCCAAGTGGAAGCAATGTGAGAAGTGAGGAATTGAATTCGACTCAATCTCAATTGCAACCTTTTGATGAGACGATTCCGTCATTATCTAATCCAAGTGGGAGCATAATGGAGAATGATATACCACGTGTACAATCTCCCATACGGCGAACAAGTCGCAAAAGTATTCCCCGACGACGTTTTGACATTGAAGGGGAAACTTTCATGATCGCTCCACAAGATGAAGACGAGCCAAGGAATGTAAATGAGGCTCTAAATTGCCCTAACAAAGAAAAATGGATGATTGCAATGAAAGAAGAAATTGAGTCAATAAAGTCAAACCATGTTTGGGAATTGGTTAATCTTCCAGAAGGACGCAAAGCTATTGGGAATAATTGGGTTCTCAAAATAAAACGCAAATCCGATGGCTCAATAGAAAGATATAAGGCTCGCATAGTGGCGAAAGAGTATAATCAACAGGAAGGAATTGATTATGAAGAAACTTTCTCTCCTGTAGTGAGATTTACCTCAATTCGCCTTATTCTGGCAATAGTGACAAGCATGGATCTTGAATTACATCAAATGGATGTAAAGATTGCTTTTCTAAATGGAGAATTAGAAGAAGAAATTTACATGGAGCAGCCAGTAGGCTTCGTTGTGAAAGGCCAAGAACAAAAGGTATGTCGACTTCTAAGATCGATATATGGCCTTAAGTAGTCTTCGAGACAATGGTATATACGTTTTCATAATGCCATAGTGACGTTTGATTTTACAATGATTGATGAAGATC